GTCGATGTCGGTGGTTCGCCTGGAGCTACCCATGATCTTTTACGCTTAGGATTCTCAAAATATATCCACTTTTCATCGCCAGTCACAATTCGGTGAAGAAATGACTTTCTTTTGTATCTAGTGAGCAACATTTCGCAAGTGGTTTTTCGGTTTTTCTGCTGTCTTTTATTCGGTTCGTGTGGAACCCATTTCCCCACCTTCTGGATCTTTCCCATGGCTTTCAAACGTATGGAGACGGCTTCTCGTGTCACGTTTAATCGATCAGCGAGTTGTTGTTGCGTTTGAGCGTCATCCTCGTCCAACGATGCTTGCAATTCGCTGTCTCGAAACTTTTTCGGTGGTCTTCCGCGTTCTTCGTTCCTCGCGTCAACATTGCCACCCACTTTCTTCGATCCTCGCGTCAAAATTGCTACTTCTGAATTTTTTAAACCACTCAAAGCACTGTGATTTACCAAGAGCATGCTCACCGTAAGCTTTGACGAGCATTCGATGCGATTATACAGCAGTTTTCTTTAAATGGTAACAGAAAAATCAATGCTGTCCGCAAATCGTAGTTTCCAGGCACAAAATTTGACATGTTCAACGCTATTACAAACTACGCTGTTGTATGAAACTTGTATCGTTCTGAGTCGAAAATGCTTGTGAGATGTCAACAAAGACTTTTGGCATCAATGACGCAGTTTAGTGACAACTACATTATCAGCTAGGGCCATCTATAGCCAAATTCCGGTTTCATACTTACAGACCTGATAAATAAATTTCTAAGTAAAAATTACAAAATTAAACGTGAATTCTAGCTTTGGTTTTGCTTTACTTTTAATACGAAATTAAAAGCACTTAGAATTATCCGCAACATCTTTTTCAAATGATATTTTCACCTTCTCAAACAGTCCTTTTTCCATACATTGAAGTTTAAACAAAATCAAAGTTACGGGCCGAATTATAAAGCATCGTTGCACACTTTGCTTATTTTCCAAGTCTCTATGCATGTTGAGAAACCATTAAAATTTAAGAATCGTTTCGTGCAGAATGTAACGAGGTTTATGTCCTGCGAACGGTAATTTAGAAAGTTTGTTCTCCGGCGGCAATAAAATCTGTTTGGCTTTTATTTCGCGAAGCACATTATGCGGGCTACTGTTTACTTTACTGCTGGGATTTCGGCAACAACTTAGCAATACGATTTCCCAGCGTTAACCTACTTGCAACGCTATATATTCATCGGACAGCCTCGGGTGTGAAACGCTGCTACGTTATCTTACGCAATGGAGAACAATGCGGAACAAAAGGGCCTTTTTTTGAACTTGGCGAGGATAATAGATCTCATCGCTTGCTTCGTTCTTTTCCTCGACAAACTTCTTGCATGGACATAATAGTTTAATTCTATTCATCTTTGATTAAAACTTGTCTGGTAAATTGAAATTACATCGCGCAAAGTATGATAGGCGAGAGGTCAAAGTTTCTCGTTAAATCCCTCCATTAAAAGTACAATTTGTCAGAGTATTAATATCGATTTCAGCATTCCCTTTTTTTAGCCACTTTTATTTTATTTTATTTTTTTTTACTTTCTCAAATAAATTTTAATTAAAGCCACGCACAGTGTCCGCGAAACGTTTCATTTCCGCGATGTCAAATATTTGGGGTCGTGAGAAATTGCTACTACGAAATAATACGAATTGGATTATCGTTACTATGAAAATGCTACAATAAACGCGACAGTTTAAGCACACGTTTGAAAATGTACTGTTGCAAATTATATTTGCATCAAGAGGTGGAAAGAAGAACGTAAACTGCAGTATGTAATTCACATTTCGGGAATAAAAGTTTGCAGATGCAAAGGAATATGAAAAATCGGACGATCCAGAATAGAAATTACTAGAAATTATTACCTTTTTATTCGGCAATTCCTGCTTAGTAGCAATATTTGTAAAAGAGGTCAAGAGAGAAATGGAGAGATCAATGATCGTCTCTCGAATGAAAACAATTATTATCGAAAAAAAATTCGATTAACGTGTGTCAGGTTTAATCCTGACAATCAAGATTCTACTATATTGAAGATTACGCACGATAAAAGCTCGTTTGTACGAACCTGTCAGACAGTAAGCAGTTGGTGTGATTGAAATTCACTGATTCATCCCATCGCTCAAGATTTTTCGTTCAAGTAATGCAGGTTTAGCCAAGTGGAATCAATCGGCAGGAGTTCACTTAATTGCGCACTAACTACAATTTCGTTCCAATGTACCAAGTTCTACTGTGTTACGTTTGGTCATTTAGGAGAGTACTAAAAACAATAAAGGTATGTGAGACACGAGTGGAACAAGAAAAATGAAAAATAACGCTTCTCCGTTCGTTACTTCTGTTCTTGGTAAATCTACCGCAAAAAGCGATACCAATTAAAGAAAGGAAAGCAATTTAATTCTTGAAAGCAAAATAATTGACATGGTACTTTAACCATATCTGCTTTGTACTTGGTACGACGTTAAATCTACGCCTATGTAAGAAAGAAAAGTAGATTTCATTCTTTTTCATTAAGCGAGTTATGAACACCATGTGAAAAAAAGCACGAGAGTTAATCATATTCATATTCGGACAGCACACTGTTTGTATTTGTGGTTTGTGTAAGAGGAGATTATTGTACAGTGAATTCTGAACGAAAAATCGTCTCATTTTCAGGTCACATTAATATTCAGATATTCAATTACGTTCTGCGATGTAGCAGTTCTTAGAAACAGTTCAAACTGCGAAACAGATTTACTTCGTATAATTAGTTCGTGTAATTAACGCCTGGAAGAATTTAACGTCAATATTTTTTAACGTATCAAGAAGTTTAAAATAGAGAGGAAAATATAATGATTTTGTTGAAAGACGAGTTGGAATTTATCATAGAGAAAAGTTTGTAAGTTGCGATGAAACTGCACAATTGTTAGTGTCGAGTATTAATTGTAGCTGATATTATTAGAAGATATAAAGACGAAGATATTACAAGGCGCGTGAACACAGGATAAAAAACTCGGGTTTACTCAGAAGACTCAAGAGAAAGAAACGCTTATCTAATCCGCTGACATGTGTTAATTGACACATGGTTTCATACTGACACGACGTTAACTTTTAACTTGACGATTATCGATAAATGTATCAAAAACGGCGCGTGTCTTTAACGTAAAATACTAAATACCATAAAGTAAAATAAACCTAAGTAATTCTAAATGCAGTAGAGACTGTCTTATCCGAACTAACAGAGAGACATTGCATTTGCTTAAATACGTATTAAGATTAATTGAAAATTTCGTTTTGTCAAATGTTTATGCACCTCATATCTTTTAGGTATGTTACATATTTCTTACAACGTAAGCAACTGCATAGAGTTACTAAATATTTGTCCATTATAGGACGTAGAATTATATTGCACGTTAATTTCTCAATTTTAATTCGGTTTTGTAAAATCATAGCATCTTCTGCCATTTTTCTCTCTAACACGTTGACTGCCACGCCTGTTTTCAAAGAAATCTCCGTCAGGCCACGCGTACAGCAGTACCAAGCGTTCTCTGCTAGGTGCTCCCATCGATATTTTAGGAATGCGAATCGCTCAAGCGGTGGTCTCGAGAATGATCTTTCGTTTCGTTTGTTCGCAACATTAAAACCACTAGCTGTTGTTGAATATAACGAAGGAAAGTGTGGTATAGATTATTCCGACCAAATGGTTTCTTATGCCACCACAATTAGAAAAGGAATCGAATGGTACAGAAAACCTGGCGTTCAATTCCTTCTGGGAATTTCTCTTGTAAACGCTTTGACGGTTTACAAAATTGCAACAAGAAAAAATATAGATATTAGAATATTTAGACAATTATTAGTTGGAAAATTATTAGGGTCGTCTGAAAATACAAAAGATCCTTGTCTTCGACGGAGTCAGCATAATATCGCAGTTCGGAAAAACGATGCCGGAAGAAGCATTAGACTCGCGTGCAAACTGTGTTATGCGAATAAAAGACGTCGAATGGACCGAACAAAGGCAGAAAAGAATTTGAAGAAAACAACAACTTATTGTCCAAATTGTCCCGACCAGCCTCACCTACATATAGAATGCTTTAAAGTTTTACATTCTAAATAATTTTTTTAATAAACCATTTTCGTATTTTTATTTTATAACGATTCAACAGTTTTATTATTATGGAATATTTTTTCAAATACCTACGACGATCCTTCGCGAGTAGTCAAATAAGCGACACCCTAATATGGGTTACGTGGCCTGACCAGATACTTTGCTGACACCCGAATACGGGCGTCGTGGCAGTCAACGTGTTAAGCTTTTACATTCTAAATAATTTTTTTAATAAACCATTTTCGTATTTTTATTTTATAACGATTCAACAGTTTTATTATTATGGAATATTTTTTCAAATACCTACGACGATCCCTCGCAAGTAGTCAAATAAGCGACACCCGAATATGGGTACGTGGCCTGACCAGAAACTTTGCTGACACCCGAATACGAGTGTCCTGGCGGTCAACGTGTTAAACTATCTTTTTCCTGTTACTTCGCACTTTGGAAAATGAATTCTTTGTATACTTGGAACCATCGAAACCCTTTTTTGAGCACCGCAAATGCTTCGTTACCACCTTCGTTTGTTGTTTCCATTTGTATAAAATCGTCGTTATTTTCATCTCGCGACGAAGCCATTTCATTACGTCGGCGTATTTAAGGTTTGCCTACCGCGGAATCTACGTGCTTCGGATAATTTTCAATATCGTGTTTTTATTTTTTTATGTCTGCGATCCTGACGTTTCCAACGCCATGTACTTCTGCTTCTGATT